TGAAAGCATTGTGAGAAAGTGTTCAGGTCAAGAAACGTGAAAGAGGTGCATCAGTGTTCTTCATCTTCATCGTTCAATCAACTCACAAATCCTCAAATTACAGATAATCAATTTTTTGCTGCGGTTTGTGGTTTGCTCGACGGTGATAAGGTTCGAACGCGTGATTGAAGATCCGGTTCGAGTGGAAGCTGGTGCAGGTGTTTCTTGGGAGAAAACCTTTGAGGTTTTACCTATCAAGACTACAGGTTTTGAAGGCTTTTGTTACGGAATCGTCGGTTCAACAATCAAGCGAGTGCGAAGGTGATTGATTAGCGGAAGGTTGATCAATCTAGTAGCTAGGGCGTTGAAAGGTTGAAGACGTTCCGGGTTCAATTTGGGTGTGTCTAAGATCAGCCGTGCCGAAGGTTTGATCAACGGAAGAGTTGTCAATAAGGTGGCTGCAATCGGAGGTCATTCACATCAAATTGGAGGACTTGATTCATCTTGAATCAAGGGGCAAGAAGTGGTAGAAATTATCAGCAACATTGAGATTGTTTGTATCAATTGTCTATCGATTCTTGTGTATAACTGTTCTACCAAACAGGTGATATCTATTCAATACATATCTCAATTCTCATTGTAGAATTGAGGGCAGACGTACCCCAACGCGAGGACGACTGGGGGAACTGCCTCATCAAATCTTGTGTTCCTTTATTTTCTGCATTTTCAATTACAGCTTAAAAATTAAGTGATTCTAGAATAAGTGATTTTGTCAAATTGTAGTATTGATTGAGTGAGGTGGTGAAACACTGTTTTTTAACTACTAAGTACAATAGAAATACTGTACTAAGGCTTTTTCAATCACTCATTCAACACAAATATCATTTAAGGTATTTGTGCACACCAACTGTTCGACAAAAGTGCTGAACTAAAATTGCCTTAATTTTGCTGCTAGTTTTGGTGTAATTTTTGATCATTGGAATAAGGAAATAGTACGAGTGAATCACATCTGAGTTTTGCATAAAAGTGTGTAGTGATTTACTATCCGTTATCGTCTTAAATTCATCTGCTTGACGCATATCCGGCTCTCCAATAGTTGTTCGTTTTAGACTATATTTTCCAAGGCCGCTTCCGCATTTGAAAACAATTTTGAAAACCAATTTTATTGGTAGCGCCACTCAAATTTTTAAAAGGGATCTATTCAACCCCCCCTTCTAGATCCGTGCCTTAGTCTAACAGTGTGGAGCAGAGGTTGTTGCGTTGTAAACTGGATTTTTTTCTGGCTTGTTTGGCATTGAATTGGATATTGATTTTGATGGATTTGGATATCCATATTTTGTTGGATGTGCTGGATTTTCTAAGTCTTGTTTGGCTGGATGCAAAAATTAATTTTTGAAATAAGCACTTTTCCAAAATCATTTTTTCTCTCTCTCGGAAACAAACTTGAACAGATATTGCTGGGTCGTGCCGGGGTCGGAAATTAAAGTCGGGGGATGCGGCGGCATTTATTTGTTGCCCCTCCCGACGTACCCGATGATGAGAAATTACTGAGGGTATCAAACTGATTAAAACCGCTTTTTTTATGAATTTAGTTCTAACCAGTTGACGGTTTTCCATGTGTTGTCGGTTTTGCAGGTTCGACGAGTCAAAGCTTGAAGATCGGGCTAGAAGAAATCTTAGGGAAAAATTAGAACTTTTTAGGACCATAGGAATTAATTTTGTAATTTTAAATAAATGTAATCGAAAATTGTATAAAGATTGAAAATAAGTTCAATAAAAATGAACTTTTATTTTCCGATTAAATTCAATCCTTATTTTCCTTCAAATACTTTGACATTTCCGATTTAAATCTGGCAAATTAACTATTATGTCCAATACTTAAAATTAGATACGTCTAACGCAACTTCCGAGTTCAAAACTAACCCCTGACGATTAACTTATTTTCGATAATAAAATTGGTGAAAATGGTCTTGAACAACTAAAGAATCCATTTTAACGGCAAAAACGAACTTTCCTCCGCCTTTAGAATTCAAATTGTATCTCGAACAATCTAACTCTGTAACCTGAATCACCTCGACTGATAATCATGATCAAACCAACGAATATTCATTATAAATTCAACGCGAACCGAAATTCCACTATTCCTTTAAAATTGACTGGTAATCAGCTCCATATGGTTTTGGAAGCAAACAACACTTTACAACTCAACTGATGACTACTTTTGGTTCCTGCAAAACCAACAGACTGAGAAAACCGGTTAGTTAAAATGCAATGCAGAATGAAATGAAATGCGAAATGAACCTAATGATCTAAGGGTAAATTTTGGGGTATGACACATCCCAAGCAAGACAAGGGGTTCCTAATTAGCAATAATAACTTTATCGATACAAAAGTTCCTTCCTTTTCAAGTCATATGACATATTCTCAGACGTCAAGAGTATCATGGCCCGTCCCATGGTCACATCGAAGTTCCAATGGTCGGAGAGTCAGAACTTTACAAAAACATTGGTTCCCACAATTTTACACATGTATCCTACATATCATAAAAAAGGTGTTTGCCCAAGAAAATCATACATAAACACGTACATAGATTCCAAACATGCATCCTTACGAACATACATACATAACATGATCAGAGTATCTATGACCGCTCTTAGAAGTCCAATCCCTAACTATACCAGTATATAGGAATACTTATTGGCTTTCCATAGTAAGTAATACTTCCACAAGCACCTTTTCGATAAAGGATATCCCCAGCAAGCTCACTCATTATGAGTCTTCAAAAGAATTTATCTAGTAGTCGGTCATCCTGAGTGATCGCTATAAACCAGTGAGCATGTTTTCACCTCTCACATCTCCAACTTATCAACATATCCATTATACGGGATAAGTTCCATCAACTACCAGGGTTTCATCAAAGGGTTCCACCAGGGTTCCACCGAGAGATTTTGACAAAGGGTTCTATCTAGGGTTTCACTGAGAGTTTACACAGGGTTCCACCATATTTTCATCAAACAACGACGAAGGATCGTCAGAGTCCTACCTTGATTCCATAAAATGATCGAATGATCATAGGAATCACAATGATCAGAGGATCTTCAGAGTCCTACCTTGATTCCATAAAATGATCATATGATCATATGAATCACAACGACCAGAGGATCGTTAAAGTCCTACCTAAATTTTGTAAAATGATTGGATGATTATAGGAATCATAACGACCAGAGGATTGTCTGAGTCCTACCTAAATTTCGTAAAATGATCGGATGATCATTGAAATCACAACGAATGGAGGATCATGAAAGTCATACCTAAATTCCATAAAATGATCGGATGATCATAGGAATTACAAGGACCGAGGATCGTTAGAGTCCTACCTGATTTTCGTAAAATGATCGGATGATCATATGAATCGTATGCAAGTTTCACCCAAAGGGGTTAAAACTGATCAAAATGGCTCTGCCAGAGTTCTATCTAGAGTTTCACCATGGTTTCATTCGCAACAACCGGAGGATCGTCAGAGTTTTATCCGATTTCGATAAAATGATCAGATGATCATAGGAATCGTATGCAAGTTTCACCTAGAGGGGTTGAAACTGATCAAAATGGTTCTACTAGGGTTTCATCGAAGGTTAGTTTAGATACCAACAGAACGTCAAGGGTTGTTCAATTCTTGCTAAATCTTAGAGTCTACTAACTCTGTGGTCAAAATTAGGGTCCCTCTCTATATTTAATCATCACCTCCTTGAGAAGATGAAGGATCGCTGTCATCATCCCGATTTGAAGTTGTTTAAATAGGGGCAATTGTCGTACCCCGAATTTTGCCCACCCTTCATATGCTTTCTTGTGTCACTTTATTTCAAATAAATGAAATGACACAATTGGTAGGAGAACAGATGTAAAGAGTTACAAAGGAAAAGGTTTTAATTTTTATATAATTGGGTATTTTTAAAATGTTTGTTTTTCATTTTTCTTTTATTTAATAAAAAATATATATTAATATAAAAAAATTAAAAGTATCCAAATTCAATGATTGTTGTCATAATCTTTTCTAATTGGCCATTTTTTTTAGATCTAGTTCCTGATTAACTATGTTTTGTCACAGATAATTATCTTTCATTTTTTGGCGATCTAATTTGTTCTATAAATAGAACTCTTTTCTCACAATTGAGATCATCCACAATTGACAAATTCAACTTCTAAAATTATTGCTCTTAACATTGAAGAACAACAACAACTAAACTCTAAAACTCGTACCAACATCTATTCTATCAAACGGAAATGGAAAAAACCAGTTCAGAGACAAAAGAAAAATATAGAAATTAAAGAATAAGAATCACTCGTGTAAAAAAGGAGAGAGCTCAAAAACTAAACAATTTTTTTACCGAAATAGATCTCAATCCAATAGTTTTTATTTGGTTATTATCATTAAAACACAAAGAAATTAAATCAAAAGAACAATAAAAAAATCTCTTTCTTTCTCCTCTATACACTATTTTATTTTTCCAAAAAAAACAACAACATAATCTTCTCCACTACACATTCACATCACCACTTACAACCGCGGTTATCAATTTCTTATCGACTCAGGTTCAATACTTTATCCTCTATGTCTCTCTAAATGTTTATTCCTGGGTAGAAACACGCTTGTTGTTTTTTTGTTCCTTTAAAACTTTGTTGCTGGAAAATACACTTAGTTCTCTCAATGTAGTGTTTGTGGAAATTAAAAGCTTTATATTTGTGTTAATCCATAGTGAGAAAATATGTTTAGAAACGAGATACATCTGCATAAGAATTTAGCATTTGGTGTTATACTCATTTAGTGAGGTAATTGGTGCATACAATATAGGCTTGCCGGAACAAAACATGTAGTAATAAAAGCTTCAATAAATCCTCTTTTTAGTTCTTAATTGTTAGAGAGAGAATAAACCAAATTGGTGTTAGCTTCCAATATGTGCCACTGTTGCTTTAATACACCTTCTAATATGTAAATGATTTAAGTAGACAATGAAGTAAGAAGATTATGTGTAAAATTTATAGGTATTGGCTTCAAGTATAATACTCCTCAATGCTCCAATAGGTGCTAAAATAATTATGCATAAGCCAAACACAATGCATATCTGTAATAAAATTAAATTAATTAATTCTTAAATATTAAAAATTAAAGGAAAATATATATAATTAAAGATACCTACCCAATTAGTATACCAAGACAAGCTGAATCTCTTAGGTTTATAAACTTTAAGCCATATGATACATGGAAGCTGCAAATTTAAGAAAATGAAGTGTTGAATAAAATGAATAAAATAATTCTATAAAAATTATAATTTACTATTCTTTTTTACTTACAAAATATGTTGTTGGAGTGACGGCAAATCCTCCGACAAATCCTAATAGACCGCCGAAAAATGGAAAAGTAATAGCAATAAACATCGTAAATGCTGAAAAGAAAACAATCCATCAATATACAAAATCAAATGAAACACGTCTTTAAATTTTTTTTTGATAAAAATCAGATATTTTTTTACGTGTAACTGCAAAACTAATCTTTGGAATCAATAGCTCTCTATCAAAATCTCCCTCAAGTGACTAATTCTTAGTTTTTGAATAATGAATATAACATCATGTCATTAAGGTTGTGGATATAATAACATATACTAAACTATAACACTAAGAGTACTATCATATAAGCATTTGTCATTGAAAATCAATGCTATATATTTGTATTTTATTCCACTTACCCACGTATACATTACGCACAACAAAACGAAGGATTGAACTTGGTGTGAAATTCAATTTCTTCACCAATACACTTTCAAGCATGTCAAACATTGGCATTGCAAAAACCTACATCAACAATCAAAGTATAAAATGAATTCTTAGAGTAGAATTGTAACTTTAACATTCGTCATAGAAAAGAAGAATTACTCATTCAACAAAAATACTCAAGTAGTTCTTCAAATGAAATTTTACCTGATAGCTTCCAATCACATGGAAAACAACAAACATATTAGCCATTGCAATAAGCCATGTTGGTTTTTCTAAAGAGATGAGAATATTATCCTTAACCTCATTACCAAACATCCAATAACCAATAATAGCAACAGGCCAATAACACAAAGCAACAACGATGTAGGAAACAACCACTCCTCTCCACATCGAAACCTTGGATGGTTTTTCAGTTGTGGATGGAATTGTTGCCTGGATTTCCAACACCACACTATGCCCGGCGTACGCAAAAGCAACCGCGCCGACTGCATTAAAGAAATTAAAAATTAAATCCGTAGTAGATTTAGCCGCGATACTATATTGGACGTTTTCTTGTACTCCTTTATGCACCGTAGCAGTCCAAGCAATTGTAGAATATCTGCAGTAAAATACAAAACATGAAGATGAATAAAAATATAATTATAAATTTAAAAAAGTAGATTTACCCAATAGACATGACTGCTGCGATCAAAGATACACCAGAAATGGAGTTGAAGCTGGGCAGATGAGACAATATAAATTGAGCAGAGGCGAATATCATAATGAAAAAGGTTAATCTGATCTTTTTGCAATTTGGACACACTGTGTCATGGAACTTCTGCAATGATGTACCCCCGGTGACCATGTAGACGATAGTTCCACCCAGCATTACTACAACTTGTTGAGGCACCACGATATAAAGACCTAGCTTTTCTCCAAATGCGTGTTGACCTAATTCATGATATCGATCGAAACGTTTTCCGGGAACCATTTCATGCATCTCAACCATTTGCCATAATGTGTATAGTGTGATGATCCATGAAATGATAAGTAAAGTTACACCAGGACCCCTGAAAAAAGTTTTAAAAAAACATTCACCAGTGTATTGTAACTTCATTAACAACTTTTTTATTTGTAACTTAGGTTTAAAATAAATTTTACCATCCAAGTTGAGACAGGGCGTAGGGAAGACCAAGAACACCGGCTCCAACCATCGCAGTTACATTATGAAAAGATGAATACCACCATTTTGCATTTCTGTCTGAGTTAATCGGAAGCCACTCTTCAACTTTCACCTTCCTCTCAGATTTTCCTTCCATGTTTCAAAGAGCAAAATTGCTATCAAAAGAAAGAAAAAGTTTTTAATAAAAATCATTATATAATGCAGTCTTTAATTTGATTTTGGTATTGGTAAATCTTAGTCTTAGATTATCTTCCCTATGTAAATTTATTTTGTATGGGAAAAGTATAATTTAAAGAAAAAAAAAAAAAAAAAATAGGAAGAGACACTTACAGTTACAGGTTGGTGGTGACGGGATGAAGAGGAAGAGTGAGTTTGGTGAAAAAGCAGTAATCACTCAAATTAAAACTACTAACAAACAAATCTATTATTTCTCCCTCAAATTTAAAATCGCAGCATTTTTTCCCTAAAATTACGCGAAACCTATGATTTTAGTTATCTAAGTTCTAAAAGCAGGTAGTTAGGCTGATTTCTAGCTCACATTTGGAAAACCTAATGTATATTCCAACAATATCTCCCAACCCTATATATTTTTTCAAAATATTTCAATTATATATTTTTTTATATATATTATTAACTTTGAAATTGGTAAATTTTATACCCTACTTACATGAAAGAGTCTTATGGTATGTAATTTCTCTTCCCACTCTAAATTAGAGCTAAATTAAAAATATATAATATTAAAATTTAGTATATTTTAGGAAGGGTGAGTTTGGTGAAAAAGCAGTAGTCAGTAAATTATTCTCACTCAAATTAAAACTAGTAACAAATAAGTCTATTATCTCCCTCAAATTCAAAATCGCAGCATTCTTTTTTTCCTATAATTCTGGCAAACGCGTATGATTTTAGTTATCTAAATTCTAAGAGCAGCTAGTTAGGCTGGTTTCTAGCTCACATTTAGAAAACGTATAATTTTAGTTATCTAAATTCTAGGAGTAATTAGTTAGGCTGGTTTCTAGATCACATTTGGAAAACCTACGCTATATTCCAACAATTATCTCCCAACCCTATACATTTTTTTAAAATGTTTCAATTATACATTTTTTTTTTTATATATTATTAACTTTGAAATTGGTAAATTTTATACCCTACATATATGGAAGAGTCTTATGGTATGTAATTTCTCTTCCCGCTATAAATTAGAGCTAAATTAAAAATATATAATATTAAAATTTAGTATATTTTAGGAAGAGGGAATTTGGTGAAAAAGCAGTAATCAGTATATTGTTCTCACTCAAATTAAAACTAGTAACAAACAAGTCTATTATTTCTTCCTCAAATTCAAAATCGTCTATTATTTTTTCCTCAAATTCAAAATCGCAGCATTCTTTTTACCCTATAATTCTGTCAAACGCGAAACCTATGATTTTAGTTATCTAAATTCTACGAGTAGCTAGCTAGGCTGGTTTCTAGCTCACATTTGAAAAACCTACGGTATATTCCAACAATTATCTCCCAACCCTATACATTTTTTAAAAATATTTCAATTATACATTTTTTATATATATTATTAACTTTGAAATTGGTAAATTTTATATCCTACATATATGGAAGAGGTAATTTCTCTTCCCGCTATAAATTAGAGCTAAATTAAAAATATATAATATTAAAATTTAGTATATTTTAGGAAGAGTGAGTTTGGTAAAAAAGCAGGAGTCAGTATATTGTTCTCACTCAAATTAAAACTATTAACAAACAAGTCTATTATTTCTTCCTCAAATTAAAAATCGCAGCATTCTTTTTATCCTATAATTCTCCCAAACACGAAACATATGATTTTAGTTACCTAAATTCTAAGAGTAGTTAGCTAGGCTGGTTTCTAACTCACATTTGGAAAACCTACTGTATATTCCAACAAATATCTCCCAACCCTATATATTTTTTCAAAATTTTTCAATTATACATTTTTTATATATATTATTAACTTTGAAATTGGTAAATTTTATACCTACAAATATGGAAGAGTATTATGGTATGTAATTTCTCTTTCCGCTATAAATTAGAGCTAAATTAAAAATATATAATATTAAATTTTAGTATATTTTAGGAAGAGTGAGTTTGGTGAAAAAGCAGTAGTCAGTATATTGCTCACACTCAAATTAAAACTATAACAAACAAGTCTATTATTTCTTCCTCAAATTAAAAATCGCAGCATTCTTTTACTCTATAATTCTGCCAAACGCGAAACTTATGATTTTCTTTACCTAAATTCTAGGAGTAGTTAGTTAGGCTGGTTTCTAACTCACATTTGGAAAACCTACAGTATATTTCAAAAATTATCTCCCAACCCTATATATTTTTTTAAAATGTTTCAATTATACATTTTTTTATTTATATTATTAACTTTGAAAATTTTATACCCTACATATATGGAAGAGTCTTATGGTATGTAATTTCTCGTCCCGCTATAAATTAGAGCTAAATTAAAAATATATAATATTAAAATTTAGTATACTTTAGGAAGAGTGAGTTTGGTGAAAAAGCAGTAGTCAGTATATTGTTCTCACTCAATTTAAAACTAATAACAACAAGTCTATTATTTCTTCCTCAAATTCAAAATCACAGCATTCTTTTTTTTCCTATAATTCTATAGCAAACGTGAAAACTATGATTTTAGTTATCTAAATTCTATGAGTATGTAGCTAGTCTGGTTTCTAGCTCACATTTGAAAAACTTACCGTATATTCCAACAATTATCTCCCAATTTTTCAAAATATTTCAATTATGCATTTTTTGTACCTATTATTAACTTTGAAATTGGTAAATTTTATACCTTACATATATGGAAGAGTCTTATGGTATGTAATTTCTCTTCCCACTATAAATTAGAGCTAAATTAAAAATATATAATATTAAAATTTAGTATATTTTAAGAAGAGTGAGTTTGGTGAAAAAGCAGTAATCAGTATATTGTTCTCACTCAAATTAAAACTAGTAACAAACAAGTCTATTATTTTCTTTTTACCCTATAATTAACGTATGATTTTAGTTATCTATATTCTAGGAGTAGCTAGCTAGGCTGGTTTCTAGCTCACATTTGGAAAACCTACAGTATATCCCAACAATTATCTCCCAATTACATTTTTTCAAAATATTTCAATTATATATTTTTTATATATATTATTAACTTTGAAATTGGTAAGTTTTATACCTTACATATATGGAAGACTCTTATGGTATGTAATTTCTCTTCCCACTGTAAATTAAAAATATATAATATTAAAATATAGTATATTTTAGGAAGAGTGACTTTGGTGAAAAAGCATTAATCAGTATATTGTTCTCACTCAAATTAAAACTAGTAACAAATAAGTCTATTATTTCTTCCTCAAATTCAAAATCGCAGCATTCTTTTTACCCTATAATTCTGCCAAACGCGAAACAGCCAAACGCCGAAACATATGATTTTAGTAGATGATAGTTGGTAGAAGATAGTTTTAGAGAGTAGTTTAGAAAGAAGGATTTTGATTAATTTCTTGGATGATTGTTTACAATGTAGCAAATGCCTATTTATAGGCTCAAGTCACCAACCTTTCAATAGTGGTGAATATTCTAGAGTTCTCATGATAGGTTACTATCATGATAAATCTAGATTTTTCTAACTTTGCCATATACTTATATATCTAGATTATTCTACCATATTCATACACCTTATAGTTTCTAGGATGTTCTATATTTTGTTACATATTATATTTAAGAACTCTCTAGAAATTTGTAGCAAATTTAACACTCCTCCTTGATACAAATTTCTTTGACTCCAAGCATAGCTCGTAGCTCTTCAAATCTTGGTCTCGGCAACACCTTCGTGAATATGTCTGCAATTTGATCTTCTGTTTTACAGTAGTCGAGTTTGATCTCTTTAGTTGCTTCAGCTTCTCTTATAAAGTGATACTTGATTGCTATATGTTTTGTTCTACTGTGATGCACTGGATTCTTTGCCATTGCAATTGCTGATTTGTTGTCGCAATTGATTTTAGTTGGCTGATCCTGGATTTCTCCCATGTCTTCAAGTATCCTACGAAGCCATATAGCCTGACTCGTTGCTTCAGCAGCTGCCACGTACTCTGCTTCTGTTGTGGATTGTGCAACCGTAGCTTGCTTCTTCGACGCCCAAGAGAAAATTCCTGATCCGAGTGAGAAAGCATAACCAGAGGTGCTCTTCATGTCATCTACCGAACCTGCCCAATCACTATCGGTGTAGCCAAGTAATCCTGAGTTAGTTTTGGTAGAGTACCATATACCTAACTCTTTTGTTCCTTGTAGATATCTCAAAATTCTTTTTCCCGCTCCAAAGTGTATTTGACTTGGACTTTGCATGAATCTTGATAGAAGACTTGTAGCATACATTATGTCTGGCCGCGTAGCTGTCAAATATAGGAGGCTTCCAATTAAACTTCGATATTTGGATGCATCAGTTTCTGGTGCTCCATCATTCTTTTGTAGTTTCTCATTTGTTATGAGTGGGGTAGCGACAAGTTTGCAACCGTACATCTTGAATTTCTTAAGTAAGCCTTCTGTGTATTTCTTTTGTGAGATGAATATCCCTTCATTTCTTTGGCTTACCTCTATACCGAGGAAGTAACTCATCAAAACAAGGTCGGTCATCTCAAAGGTCTTCATCATGTCTTCTTTGAACTCCTTTATCATCTTAGTATTGTTTCCCGTGTAGATAAGGTCATCTACATATAGAGAGAGTAAGAGAGTGTACTGACCTTGAGACTTGATGTATAGTGTGGGCTCACTCTTGCTTCTCCTAAATCCTTGATCCATAAAATATTGATTGATTCTGCTATACCATGTTCGAGGAGCTTGCTTCAAACCGTATAGTGCTTTTCTTAGTCTTAACACTTTGCTCTCTTCGCCTTCAGATATGAATCCTTGTGGCTGCTCCACATCGATCTCTTCTTCAAGTACACCATTGAGGAAGGCAGATTTGACATCCAGTTGATGTATACTCCATCCTTTTTGTGCCGCAAGAGCTATTAGAGCTCTAATGGTATCAAGACGAGCTACTGGTGCAAATGTCTCATTGTAGTCAATCCCAGGTTGTTGTGAGTAACCCTTAGCTACTAGTCTCAC